GGCTAATATATCCAGCCCACTGCCACTTCAGCTTGCTAATCCACAAGGCTATCTCAATGACTTTGGTTTCTCCATTCCAAATTTTAACAAAGAAAATTTCCGTCACCCAAGTGCCTTTGTTATTTAAGAGAGAACGACTAAACAATACGGAAAGTTACTGCGTGGAAGATTTAAACAAACAATAAACGAAGATAAATGCAGAAACTAGAATCAATTTATTTGCAAATCGTAGCACTTTGTTACAATTAAACCTACGACATCTAACACAGTTTCAGTTTACAAGCTGAAATCTTAATGCTGAGCTATCCATACAATCAATATTATGTGTCTCTCTAGTGTTCAACTATTTCCATGCCTTGTAGCTAATACTAATATATTTGTATTTTTACATTTTTAGACTATAATCACTTACCCAAGAACGAGTTTAAGTTACGTTCATAATAGATGTATTTACAATTACAATGGTTAAACGCAGCGATCAATAAAAGGAAATAACTATCTAGCCAAGCCACCAACATCGCGGCATTGAACTGTGTTACTAAATGTCCAGCCATAGCCTTGATATGTAGCTTAAGTAGCTCTCACTGATCTGTTCAACTTTCAATCAACTCTCATTACATTAAATCTTAAAATAAGAATGAAAACTGACAGACAGACGAATACACATACTTAGACATGTACACACAAACACACACACAGGCTCACAAACTATCACACACACTCACATAGCTCCAAGTTAAACTTAGTCAATTAAATAAAAAAAGATTGTAGTAAACTGCGATCTCTTCCTATTGTTTCATATGAGATTTATAAAAGATTCTAATATTATTGCTACTGTCTTAATGTGTAATCGTTTTTGTATTGATAGCCTCGATACAGGCTAAGCCTAGTGTGGCTATCATTGTTAAACAAATTTTGTAAATCTTTACTTTAAATAAAGTTATTATTATTATTATTAAATTGCCTAAATTACGCACGGTTTTTTTTTAAAGGCATCTCCCGCATTAGGAACATATCCTGTGTCGCAAGGGACTTCACAAACATACATTAAACGGACACAAAGAACACCCAGACTCAGGACAACAATCTGTGGATCACACAAAGTGGACAAAGGACCCACAACACTCGGCGTAGTAGTAAGCGGCGTGGCGACCGCCCAAACCACTACGCCATCCGTACATATATACCTTTGAATTACGCGATGTTTTGACCAGATTGCACTGACTATGGTAACAGGCTGACTCATCTGACTGACAGACTAAAAAAATAATCAGGAATACTTCGATTAGCCCATACAATGATGGGCCTAAACCTGAACAAACAAAAACAGTAATTAGGTTTTCGTTGTGCAATTGTGGATAATGTTTTTGCACTGGCAAAAAGTAAGGCAGATATTGAGGAAAAGTTGCCGGGCAAGTTATTTATTAAAAAAAAACTTTTAAAAACTAGGAGAATGTTAGAAAAATCTTGTAGATAAACATTATCTCATCTCACAGTTTGCACTCTTTGACATTAACTTGACAGGGGTCAGCTTTTAACGTAAACGTCATGTCTCATGTTTTTATGCGTGGTGTCTAGACGACGCGCCGGGCCCAGAGGGTGAGTCCCTCCCTTGTATGCCATGTCATAAGTTATCGTCTGTGCCCTTCTGATGCCCTGGTGTCACATTATACATTACCCGAGTGTTAATTAAATAATTTCTGCTAATAGAAACACTAATTAATTCGAAAAATGAAAAAAAAACTTTTAATACGACGATCCCTATGGAGTGAGAATAGTGTATAGTGTACTAACACTGGGGTCGCGGGTATGTACCCGCTCTATATAAATATTTGTATGTATGAAATAATTATTTTCATTGATCTGGGATTTTCGACCTTTAGTCTCTGCTAACAAAGCTCTGCTTGATTTGCTTTTAGACGGCGATGTGTAATACGTCCCAGGACATTATTACTATAAACTTAACGCATTAAAAGAACTCTAAATCAGCAACTCAAAGGTTTGATGGTAGTAGAGGAAACTCGTGTGATATCTACAGATAGAGTAAGCAAGACTGTTATCGTCTTAAATCGAACAAAGCAATGTGTGAGTGTGCTTATGTACGAGTATAATATGTAGATAGGTCTGGAAACCAAATTGAAAATACGATGGCGTCCTTTACGGCGGTCAACGTGCTTATGAACTTTTGCTACTTGGCAAATCGTAGGACACCTGTGTCACGCTTTGTGATAGATAGTGGTGAAATGAACATTAATGAGCTGATCTACGATGCAGAGGTACATATAGGTTTTTTTTTTATTTTTTATGGTAGACTGGACAAACGGACAGACGGGTCACCTGATGGAAAGCGACTACCGCCGCCCATGAACGCCTGCAACTCAGGAGTCACAAGCGCGTTACTGGCCTTTGAGGCCTTATTAAGGCGCTCTAGCTCAAAAGGTTTTGAGTTGTGGGAATTGAAAGTGGTTTTACTATAGCAGATAATTTAATATAGTATTAATAATAATATTTAGTCCCGAGTCCACATGGTGATAGTTATCAACAGCCTTTAATAGTCCACTGCTGGACATGAGCCTCTCCTTAGAAAGGAGGTTTTGGCCTACTATACCACGCTGGCCAGACGGGTTGGTATAGGGTTTGTGTCAAGTTTTCCTTCTCTCTGCAGTGCTGTTGTTCTGCGTAGTTTTTTCCCTTAGTCGGCTCTTACGACACCCACGGGATGAATAGGGGTGGTGACACTCTGTATTCTTAATCCGTCACCACACGGTCAGTCACATGGTGATAGTAAGTCCTGGCATTATATATTATATTGACTTAAATGGCTATTGTCATATTTTAGTCAGCTTACCTACATCCTCTGAATAACGGGTATCACTGATATTTGTTGCCAAAACTTTTGTTAACCATGAATTTAGCGATAAAACTAATATAAAGCGAGCGATATTACTGTCACGACCAGACATGTCCGGAAATGTCAATGGCTTATCAATATCATTGAGATTAATATAAAACTGATGATACGTTTCATTACAAAAACAAAATATTCAATATTGATCAAAGATAAACGATTTTACTCACCTGTGGGTGTCCGACTAGTTTTGCAGCTAACAGGAAACCTTTTTCGAGGGATAAAGCGCCCTTCGTGTCAGGAATTTTTGAAGCGCTTTGTAAAATGAGATGTGAGATGAGATGTCCGTCCGTCCCGTCATGAGATGTGTCCAGTTATTATTACTAGATATAAAATAATCTGTTATTAAAATAATATTAGGTCTTTACCTATGAAATTGCCGTTTTGTATGCAATAAGTGAAAGTACTTATTTTTTCGTCCGTCGTTCGTCCGTGTGGTGACGGATTAAGAATACAGATTGTCACCACCCCTATTCATCCCGTGGGTGTTGTAAGAGTCAACTAAGGGAAAAAACTACGCAGAACAACAACACTGCAGAGAAAAGGAAAACTTGACACAAACCCTTTTTTTTTTTTTTTTTTAACGTGTGGAAATCCCCTCGGACCGTCACCCCTCCGGGGTTTGCGGCGGGGTGGTGTGTCGGACTCGGACCGACTAAAACCACACGGTGTGCCACTCTGCGCCTGTAACAGGAGGACCTCCAAGAGGACAAGGAGGGAACAGTACCATCGCCAGCGTTTCCAGGGTGCACCACGAGGAGGTTTTCTAGCCCAGCACCCCAAACCCTATACCAACCCGTCTGGTCAGCGTGGTATAGTAGGCCAAAACCTCCTTTCTAAGGAGAGGTTTATGTCCAGCAGTGGACTATTAGAGGCTGTTGATGATGATGATGATGACTTATTTTTTCAAACTTTTTATTTCTGTTATTCAAAGTAATCACCCATGCAATCGACGCATCTTTGCCAACGCATTAGCAGTTTATTGATGCCCTTCTTGTAAAAATCAGCTGGACGGGAGGCAACAAACTCTTCAAAGGCATTTTGTACTGCCTCTCAGGAATTGAATATTTTACCCACTAAAAAGTTGTCTAAATTTTGGAAAAAGTAATAGTCGGTAGGTGCAAGGTCAAAATCTGCCTAGCAGTTGAATGTCTTCGTCGAAATATAATTTGATTGAATAAGCTAATTGTAAACTTACCAAGATCTCAATTTGTATTGCAGTTACCAGATGTCGTATTCATTTATTCGGTTTGCATTACAATCGTACTAAATGGATAATCAGGAATTGCCTCACGTCCTCTTGATACGCGCACGTAAATTGTATCATAACAATAAGTAACCTCATTCGTTTACAAGTGCTGGTCATGATATTCTTTCATTGTGTGTTATTTTAATACTCTTGAGTTTGAAGAATCTTGTTTGTTAAGAGTTTCTAGATCACTTAAGTAATTCTTTTCGTAATAAAATGTGCAATAAATGATATATTTATGTGGTTTTGTCTTGTGCTACTATTTAGTATAGCTACTTTCCCTTCGATAAATTGTAAAAAGTACTTGTTATTTCTGTTATTAGTTATTAGCAGGAATAATAGGAAGTTATATTAATTGTCTGATTCTTTCACTAATGATAATATCATATATACTTAGGTGGGTAGCGTAACCCACGCCACGCCATTTACTACTACGCTGAGTGTTTTGGATCTGATCCTCACATGGAACGACACTTTGTGTGATCCACAAATTGTTGTTTAGGATTAGGAACAAATCCTGTGTCGCAGGAGACTTTACTAACATACATGAAACGAACACAAAGAACACCCAGACTCAGAACAACCATTTGTGGATCACACGAAGTGTCGTCCCATGTGAGGATCAGACCCACAACACTCAGCGTAGTAGTAAACGGCGTGGCGACCGCTTAAACCAATACGCCATCCGTGCAGTCGAAATTAAACGTATCACGTATGAACGAACCATGTAAACGTACCATATCAATAGAGAAATAAATATTTACATAAAAACTGTTAAAGGGTTTTGCTAAACCGTAATCATGCGATGCCATTAGCTGCTTCAATGTGTTACTTTTTTTCCAGTACCCGGGTAGAACGTAAAACGGGCATGAAGAACGCTCAACTGCTTTACGTAAACGGAACGAGTCCACGGTCACAGCCGTCCACGCCGCAACTGCTTCGAGTAAGTGCACTTCTATTTCATATTCTGATACTAGTCAACTGTTCTGGGTCTGTTCTTCTACAACATCGCTTCATCGTCGCCGAAAAATGTTGTACCCTTGGCAAAGAGTTCACGTTCACAAGTGAGACCCTTTTTTTTTCCAGAATTTAGAATCAATAATATAAATAATACCGTGGTCTTACAGATCCTTGAAGAGACAATCCAAAAGAAAGTTCCAAAATCCCTGTTGAAGAAGTCAGGAACTCGCGACGTAGAAAAATGTCGACTGAGCTTTAATATAGGCGAGTCTATCAGTGACAACCTGTTCCAATATAGGACTAAGTTTGTCCAGCACATGCTCACCAGCCCAATGTACGCTAACAGCGCTGTCGGGAAACCCTGGGAGATGATTGGCAGGTACGTAACTACCTTCCAATCCACCATTTTTATTATAGCAGTTACACCAACGTTAATGCTCACTACTCTGTTCCATAGCGCCATAGCGTGATGTTAAATATCCCTTCTCAAGATCTGTGCTATTATATAATACAGAAAAATGATGATGAATCCGTGTTCTATCCGTATGGTGACGGATTAAGAATACGGAATGTCACCATCCTTTATTCATCCCGTGGGTGTCGTAAGAGCCGACTAAGGAAACTATGCAGGACAACAGTACTGTAAACAGAAGGAAAACTTGACACAAACCCTCTACCAAAATATTTTCATTAAATATGTTGCATGATAACAAACGCTCCCTGGTTCGTACCCAACGAACTATTTCACCGTGACCTACGAATGCCTACCGTGAAGCAGGAGATTGTACGCCATACTAAGTCCTATAAAGAACGCATCGAACAACATCCAAACACTCTGGCTCGGCCATTAATGGAAAACCACAACAAAGCGCGACGATTGAAGCGTAAAATACCTCAAGACTTATTACAATTACAGTAAATATAACTACTGTCTAACAACGAGGATGTGACACAGGTCACATACCGAGCGCGCCAGCGTATAGCATCGACCAACACACTGCTGAATGTCCCATGAAGGAGACAGATTGTAGTAAAACAAGAGGATACAAAAAAATAATAATTAAATATGTTTATAATGTTAATACATTTCTTAAATTTCAGCGTTTCAGAGCAAATCATTGATGAGCTTTTATTGAGCTGCGTAAAGGACATGGAACTGAACGATTACATCCTTGCGTTGTACAAGCAAGAAACTTTGTGACGTGTTGGAAACAACGCGTGATTGAAATATATTATATATACTGTTTTGTTCGTAATACATTGTTTATTTTGGTATACGGACAGCTGTTTTATTTGCCAAATTCTGCCAAACCATCTGTTCATTATATCCCAACTTTTTTTTTTTCCGTGCGGAAATCCCCTCGGATACCACCTGTCGGTGGCATGTCGGACTCGAACCGATTAAAACCGCACGCCGTCTCGGGTACTAATAGCCGGGGAACCAGGTATACCCCAGAAAGGAAGTCCCTGGTGCCCCGACATACCTCGGGCCATCTACAACAACAGGTAGACGACCCCCCCCGTGTGGGTATATCCCTACTGGTAAGATGGAGATTAAAAATCGGCGGCATTTCCCACGGTATACTATAAAAAAATAACTAAAAACACTAATCTGGCTTACGAAATATTCTAACTGGATTTACTGCAGAGCTGATTTTCCAATGTTTAGGTACCTATCATTCTTTTAAGAAGATAGAAAACAAAAATTGAAAGAAAACAAAACGAGAAATCATCCACATCGGAGCAAATGAAAGAGCTTGTTATGGAGGGGCCTAAAATATACTTTTTTTGTTTTGAATTTGATAAGTTGATAACAAAATTGGTTACCCATTCCTTCCCCTTTTTTTTTTGCGTGTGGAAAGTTCCCAATTTATGTTGTCAATGCGTCTTATCAGACAGGAAACTAGAGATAGAACCAACATCTTTAGAAAATCTCCTAAATCTTTATCCAAAGGTAATTTAGATAGATTAGATATGAAAATATTTACATTGATGACTGAAATCTGGGATATTTTGAAACTATCTTCCATTTTAGTGTGTAGGCTATAAGAATAAACATATATTTTTTATCCAAAATAAGACACCAAAAAACAACAATAGGTGCATATAAGCAAGCGCTTATCTTATGGTGACCTGGAAAGAGACGGATTCCAATCAAATTATAAAGTCGGTCACAGACAGCCTGATATCTCACCTACCGTCAACTCTTAACACACTCATTGGTCAAATTAGTCACATAGAATTAGCGAATAAAATTGATAACCTCCATTTTTATTCTTTATGAGTTAATTGACAATGTGACGATTAACATATTTCATTTCCAAACGGATCCGTTATAGTTAAACCGCCGTAAGCTTGGCCCTCCTGATGGTTTGGGGGACGCGGGGCGGTGGTGCATTCAACCAATTAGCTAGTGCGTCGCTGTCCGCCGGCAGCGACTGACGTGAAAGCATGGCTGTACGTATTATTTTTCTTAAGACTGCTACACACGGTATTATTTTGCAATATGGATAATCTGCCGACTCTGCGTCACAAAAAGATTTAAAAACTTGAAGTTCGGCTTACAGAGGTTCTACTGTTAAAGTTCTAATAAAGAATATTTATTATTTTACTTAATTTTTAAATTGTATCTGAATATAATTTACATGATGAAGATAAGGTGATTTTATTAAAATTATTTTACAGTATTAAATTTTACAATTAATCATAAAAACTTACAATACACTGACATTATAAAACATGGAAATAAATCCTATTTTTATTACATCGTGTGTAGATTAAATTTCAAACAAATAAATCTGAAGATATCGAGTTAGTACATCGTGTCACGTAGTTCCGTGTGGTGACGGATTAAGAATACAAATTGTCACCACCCCAATTCATCCCGTGGGTGTCGTAAGAGCCGACTAAGGGAGCAAACTAAGCAGGACAACAGCAGCAGTTGTCGCTAAATGAAATAACTAAAATTTAATTATGAATACTTTAATTTCAACAAGTTCTTCATCGGTTTGGTAGTAATCAATTTACAACAGTACGGCTTCAGTCTTACCGATTATCATTTATTTGTATTTCGAATGTACACAACTTAAATTCTAGTAATAAAAGGTCTCTGTACAAAGTATATAAATTAAAATAATAAACTTAACAAATATTACTTTATTCTAACGACGTAATGTTTACATATTGCACTCCAGTTTCCTCATTGCCAAGATCTGCGGTATCCCACAGCCTTATATATATACTTTCCCTAGCTCTTCCACACTATTCGTTTTTACCTGATTTACCAATTTTCTTTGTTCTATCGGAAAAGGATTACATTCAGAGAAACGTTTGATGGCTGGATCGTTGGATGAACGGCTAGTAGAAAATATAGCCCATAGCCCTTGCAATGTTTTTTTACATCGCGCCGACCTCATGCAAATTTGAAAAAGGCAGTAAGAGGATAATACCGGATGATTGATAAATAGGATGTTGTACCGAGTAGATTTTCTAGAACTGGAGTCAAAATTAGATGGACGAGAACCACAAGATCAGACAGACCTATTGCTAGGATATGGCCAAACATCAAAAAACCAAAGAAATATCAATCTATTCGACTAAATTCACTCTCTAAATTTACTCGCCGGCGTGTCATACTTTTCCCTTTATCCATTAATCGTTTGTGATTTCAGCATTTTTAAATGTCTCAGGTTTATACCTAAATATTCTAATTATTCATAAATTATTAAAATTAATAGTATTTCATCTTTTTATTTTGGTGGTAATCACATTTGGGGTAATCTCGGTTGACATATATATTTTACACAGCCAGACCTTTTGGTGACGGTGATGTAAGAAAACATTATTAAAATGAAGTGAGGTAGTACAGAAATTGATAATGTAATAATTTTTCTCTGTAATTAGCACCATAAACAACAACAAATTACAAATATATGTTTACAAAAACATATTAACGATAATTTTACAGCATAAGGCACTTAGCATAAGACTAGTTGACCTAAAAATACATCAGAACACTAGTATATTTCATCAGTAATTCGATGTACAAACATGCAACAGGAAACAATTTATTCATACAAATTTAACGAACATTATTTTGCCGCTTTTTCAATACTTTTATTGTTTGGAAATTAACTCTCAACAACACTTAATAGATAATCTGGCAACAGAAATGTCAAGATTGTAAAATTTCATCTTTTTACTATAGCTTAGAATTAGTATTTAGTTTCTATTATTGAAGTCATACTAAAAGTATGAATCTCATCGTCATATGCCTAATAGGAAATAGTTTTTTCTGTCTTTTACACAGTTTTACGATGATAATAGCCTGTTGGTGGCCACTAGATCATGTGGCCTAGAATCACAGGTCTCAATTCCGTTTCCCCATCAGAGACTTACGGTAACCTCCATCGCTCTTTCCGATTTCCTTGTCTCAATTTACTTTTTTTTAAAGGCGGGGCTGCCATACGGCCCGCTATAAAATAATCATGCCAGAACTTTTTGCAATACAAATTTATTGCACAGACCATGGGGTCTGGGGTATTGCAAAAAATATGGATTAAATTGCGAAAAGGGCGGATAATGATTTTTGTATTTTATTTCTTGTAAAAAGTAACAAAAAGCTGTTTGACTATACCTTATCATCGTTATTTACACTAATTCGAAATGAATTTAAAACTTCACCAAATTTCTCCTTTTGTCTTTTAAGTGTGTCATTCTTTTCCATTTTTGGGAGCTTTGATATACTCTCAGTGCTTGATGCATCAGTGTGATATGCTTCCTCCGGTGTTGGTGGATTTGATTTCATGAGTCGTGGCTTAGCTAAAAGTTGAGGTCCACCTAGAGCGAATATGTTTTCAAGTTTACTTTTTAATTCGCTTCTGCTCATTGCTTGATCTTCATCTTCTTCAGATTCAACTGGCTTCGATACGACTGGTTTTTCTATTTCATTATTTACGTGTCGCAGATTCGGTAACGTTTCTTTAGATAACAATTCCTTTTTTAGGTCTAGGAATACTTGTGGTCGTTCCCTACTAGCGGCTACAGCTAGTTCTGCTTCTATACTGTTACTTGTCGACTGTGATCTAGTTCTGGGAATGTCTTCTTCACTGCTTATTGATTTTTGAAATATATCATTTAGCTTAGACATAAGTTTAATTTGCCTAGAACTACCAAATCTTATATTGTCCTCACCTTGTGAGTTGTTCGATTCTATGCTCAGTCTGGGTTCATTAACGTTATAGTCTTCTTCTTCTTTAGCGTGCTTAGAAGGTATAGTATTAAATTTCTTAAGGTTTAACGGAGTAGGTGTTTTAAAATAGTTTTCATCAAACGGTGGTGGTACAGGTATGTTTGAAATATCTTCTGCATCTGAACGATCGTCAGATTGTAATCTATTACTGTCTTCTAAATCATCTTTGGTATGCTTCACAGGCATAGTATTAAACTTGCTAAAGTCCAAAGGAACAGGCGTTCTAAAATAATTTTCGTCTATTGGTGGTGGTACTGGTATATTTGAAATATTGGGATCTTCTATAGACCCTCCGAATGTCGGTCTATCTAAAGTATCCGAGTATCCTGATTCGTCTGTTCGAGAATTCGTTTCACTTTCATTGAACGCTGTTACTTCCTCGTCATCATCTTCTAAAATATCGCCCCTTTCTTCTTCTTCTTCCTTTAGTTTTGGTAAGTCTTCCCTATGTACTTGAGCAATAACATCGTATTTGGATAATACTTGATTACCCATTGAGGCATCTGAACCGGCATCAGACAGTTCGCTTAGTGATTTTCTATGTGGAATACCACCCTCACTATCATTACTATTTGTCACAACACCCTCGTTTTCTCCATTAGTTTCTTTCAGACTTATAACTTCACTGTATGAATCTTCTTCGGCTTGGAGAACTTGGTCCAATAAATCTATAATTTTTGCTTCTTTTTCTGCGCTATTTTCAATTTGTATTTCTTGCATAAATGGTTTTGCTACAACCGATTGGATAGCAGCAACTGTGTAAATATTTTCTGCGTCTTCTTCATGGTTTTTAAAACGTGTTAACGTGTGTGGTGGTGTTGGGGATTCAACTATGATTTTAACCGTTGGTTTACCATTATTAATTACATGATCATCCAAATCATCAGTTTCGCCATCTGCTTGTGTGTAGATGCAAAGACAGATGAAATAAATGGGAATACCTGAAATCATTACACTCTGAAAAGTACTATTTCGTAAACACAAAATTTTGACAGAAAAAAAAACATGTTTACTCACCTATTAATACCCATATCAGAACTCTAACCCATGAGTGCCAACTGATGATCGCTGCCAAATGTATGTTAACGTAAATACTTATACATGGAAGAAAAGGTACAAGAGGCGTCTGTAAAAACACAAGATTAAATTAAGCTATTGAATGAACGCAATTATCCATAAGATAGCAATAATATAGATGTATTTACTTTAAACGATAGTTCCTCATCATTAGCAGGCTGCAAAGCCATTATAATAACAGTCAAGATCGCCAATATGTGAAGAATGATTATGGCTGCGAGTGGTCTACTCGTATATATGATCACGATTGCTATTGTTATGCAGAGACATACTGAAAATAAACACATTGTTAGTGAAGTTTAACATTTAGTAGCATCCGATAGTACAGGCAACCTCATCTGTATATTTCAGCTAATTTGCCCCATTTTATTAGGGTTCAATTCAATGTAAGGAATTTTGGTAGATTTACCCGCGGGTTTACATCTACCCCTTCTGTGACTGTCATCACTTTCAGACCTGACAAGAAGAGACTGTCGTCGCATACATGATACTGAGAATAAATAAATCTTGAGAAAAGTATTCTGTCTGATTTAAGGCACTACGCAAGGAGTTGAAAGCATTTTCTAGGAGCAATCCTTGGATTAAAAGTCACCACCTAATGTCGTGTGGTGACGGATTAAGAATACAAATTGTCACCACCCCAATTCATCCCGTGGGTGTCGTAAAAGCCGACTAAGGGAGCAAACTAAGCAGGACAACAGCACTGCAAAGAGAAGGAAAACTTGAAACAAACCCTATACCAACCCGTCTGGCCAGCGTGGTATAGTAGGCCAAAACCTCCTTTCTAAGGTGAGGCCTATGTCCAGCAGTGGACTAGTATAGGCTGTTGATGATTGATGACCTAATGTCAAATCAGTTTATGTATATCTATTCTATATCATTATATTTGTGTAAAAATACAGCGAAATTTACCGTCGTCGTAAAGTCGCAAAAATATGGATTTTGGTATCCATGGTATTGTTAGTTCTCTCGTGGTATTTGGACTTACCGTACAGGAGCATTGTTAAATTTATTATTCGCTTTGTCTTCCATGTCGCTCGTTTGTCTCCACGTCCAAGGAATTGTTTCAAACAACTTGTCTTTTCATCAGGTAGTGAGTAGGAATTATGCCTGAAAACCAAGTAAAAATTTATGCAAAATCATTATATTTTTGTGCTTAAGATTGATATCAAGCAGTTGCGTTTTTTAAAACATGTCAAATAATAGAAAATACTCAATCTTGTTAGAATTAGCCGTTAAAATCATCTACAGTAAAAGAGCTTTGCTAGGAATTAACTATGGAAATAAGATTACTGAAACGTGAAGTTTAGGCAAGATATTTTTGAAAAATTTGTGCAAAAGTGTGACAGAAATTGTCGTAAAAGCACGGGCTTGGCGAATTCATATACTGAAAGGTACCTTAGCAATACGACAGATATGGCCACCAGGGTGTATGACATGAGAGCTCCGATACATAACATGAGGAGCAGTTGCTCAAACTCGAACAGTGCTGATAGAAGAGCTGAAAACAAAGTTCAATTTGTTAGATACTATTTTATCTATAATTTCCCTTACAACTAATATGGAAAATTTCATGAGTATCGGCTAGATAACGTATGTTACGTCTAGCATAGCATGGCATAGCATAGTGTAGTGTAACATGAGAAAAGGTTTTTTTTTTATTGTTGACTAGGTGGAAAGTCCCTTCGGATCTCCCGCTCTTTGGGGACTCAGGAAACAGGCGATTCAGAATTCAGGTGATTCAACTAACAGCACAGCAGCCGGCCTCAAGCGCCCTACTCTCCCTACTCTGGGAGGACTCGGACCATGTGATTTCAGGTTCTCCCCGAACCATACCACGTCTTATCAGGCATAGGGCCTAGGGGAAAAGACTGCCTCCCTCAATCGCGACGTGGCAGCCCGATTGTCACTAAATGCGATCAGGCTGCCATCATATCCCCTACCATAGCAATTAATCTGCCACCAGAGGTCCCCCCATGCTTTACAGAAAGAGACCACATCGCCCCAGCCCTCCTCACGCGCTAACATGGCAGCAGTAGTTGCTGGCGGGAGCAGGTCTCGTCCAAATGTGAAATGGATATAACAAAATATGAAAAAAAAAATGCATGTCACAATGCATTTCTTCAAACGTAATAAGTTGTGGGTTATCACACATCCCCCAATTGTTCCTCAATTTTTTTAATTTACAACATTTTATAGTGGCCGTGTCAATATCATCACTAAATGCACACACGGTCACTATATTATTTAAAAGAAATAATACTGTGGCGACTCCCACATAAACATACTACAGCGCCATCTAATGAAGACACACCGAACTACGGAGTAACTACTAAAAATAAGAATTGCTAATCCTGTATCGCGATATAAAGAATTCCCTCGCCGATTAGCATATATACAACTTCCCAACATCAACCGTTGGGCCGCGGCCCGCCAGGCATGAACACCTCGCCTGGTCGGAGGATCCTCCCTTTGTGTTGGAGGGACATGACACCCGTTCCTCCACAATACCAATTCAAGCATTACACTAGTACATTTATTATTTATTATTATTATACTTACCAATAACAAGAGTAGATACGACTGTGGCAACAATTGGTGACTGTTTATTCGTGCCAACTTTTGCGAACCAGTGAAAGAGCAGACCATCGGCTGCCATGGAATACAGGAGACGTGGAAGAGGGAATATTGCTCCAAACAAACTGGAACGATATTGATTATGACTTAGTTAAAATTTGGATAGCACTCGCTTAATATGTCCTCTGAAAAATAACCACCTGTAAATTAACCTTAAAAATGTACTTGTAGAATATAACTAATATATAAAGAAGAAAAAATTATCACCATCGGAGGATGGCAGTATTTAATGCAGTTGTAAGTATTTGTTTAAGAAAGAAAACTAAATTCATAAAACAGATCTTCATTTTCTCCTAAAATATAAAAATAGTCTTTATCCATATGTTCAAACATAGCTTTAAGGAAGGCAGTGTTACCTGGCAGATAAGCCAAAAAGGGCACCAACATTGACTATCCACCACGGCCAGTCCCATCCAACGGAGCTGAAGGCCCTCGACAGTGATGCGGCGGCAGCCTAAAAATTGAAAAAAATATTTTGGATCTCTTTGGAATAACGTGATAATATTGTACCGTACACCAAAGAAACACTTGCCTTTTTAATCACAAGTAAATTCAAGTACATCTTCATATTCCTTCATATACCTACTTTAAACAAATTGTAAAGTTCTTTCGTAAGACTAGGGGATGTGTGGAGGCTGGTTTTGGGCGAAGGTTCCCTAACAGTGGTTTCATCACAACTGTTGTGGAATAGATATACTGATATGGACAATTATGGAAGATTAAATTTTTTTTATTTGTGTAGATGTTAATTTTAAACCGTAAAATGAGTTTTTATTATTTTTAAGATGTGTTATATTTCGTGAATGCTATTTTTATCTGTAATGATTTGGGTCACTGGCTGATATTCTGTGTTTGTATATGTGTTGTGGGAGTGTTTTTAAATGTTGGTAAATCAAATCATCATCATCATCATCAACAGCCTATAACAGTCCACTGCTGGACATAGGCCTCTCCTTAGAAAGGAGGTTTTGGCCTACTATACCACGCTGGCCAGACGGGTTGGTATAGGGTTTGTTTCAAGTTTTCCTTCTCTTTGCAGTGCTGTTGTCCTGCGTAGTTTGGTCCCTTAGTCGGCTCTTACGACACCCACGGGATGAATAGGGGTGGTGACATTACGTATTCTTATTCCGTCACCACGTCAAATAAATAAAATAAAATCACAAAAGGACTTTAATTTTAAATAAAATGTATTAATTTATACTTGAAGAATAAAAAATGATTACTTACTATCTCGTAGTAGGGCACCATCATGGTGAGTATTATGCTGAGGGCGATGTACATCAGGAACACGAAAGAAAGCACCGCTACAATGGATGTAGGTATGGTTACTCGAGGGGATTTCACCTGAAAATATACAACCATTATTTAAATTTATTTTTATACAAAGCCAATTAAAATTAATAATTTAGGAGTATCATTTGAGCCAGAAGATAGACTACTGGACACAGAGTATGTATACTGGCCACTACTGGATACATACCTCCTTCAATGACCTCCTAAAAGAGCGATTAGAAGTAGTCGACAAAAAAATACATTCGGTGTTGACCTGCGAGCTAAATTAGATTATCTGTTTAATTTTTACCTAGACGTTTCATAATGCGTTTTCCCGTACAATTTGCTTTAATTTTGTGTATGTTTTAAAAAAGTTAGGGAGATTTGGTTTGCTATTGGTTGTGCGATTATGGGTACATTAAATTGATCGTTTTAACTCCTGCACTATGAAAAATTCCTGCGTCGCAGGAACAACAAGGATTGAAATAATAATAATAATATAGCTATTTATTTCTAATCCAAAAAAAATATTATAACATGCATTTTCAAACATAAATTAAACTTTAACATGTTTATATACATTAAAATTAATGTTATAAAGTAAATTAAACTTTACTTATTTATGTTTGAAAAAAAAATGCTGTCTTCAATACTATTGATCCCCTTACTCCCTTACTCTCTTACTCCTATTACCCCTTCTCGGGTATAGGCTTCCTTCAGCTTTTTCCAGACCTCTCTGTCCTGGGCTTTCATTATCCATTCGCTGCCTGGGGCGTCCTCTTCTCCTTTTTCCTGTTGGTCTTTCCCAAACAGTAGCCCTTAATGTCCATCTCTTATCTTATCTTGCTATGTGCCCTGCCCACCTCCACTTCTGTTTTATAGCATACTAACGCATCTATGACTTGTTTTTTGTCTTATTTGTGCACGTTTAACTTTTTTCATTCTTCTTATTTTGAGTGTACTCCTTTCCATTTATTTCTGGCATACCATTAGTTTGGTTTATATTTTGGTGTTATGCGTCCAGGTTTGGCATCCGTACGTGAGAGTAGGCAAGACACAGGTATCTAAGACGGTCTTCTTTAGGTGAACGAAGATTGAAAAAGTATACACAAAAACAGATAGACTCTGGACAACTAATCGTGGACCTCCTTTCTAAGGAGAGGTCTCTGATGTAGATAGACAGGCAGATCTGAGGTAGATAGTAGTCTCTGATTCATTTCCAACACGAAACAAACATTTGTGTAAAATGTTTGTCTCGTGTTGGAAACGAATCCACATCAGAGGCCGTCGCGCTATGTGTTTTGTAAAGTCTCGATTTCGATCTCGATCGAAACATTTTTTTTTATTATTTACCTGTATGTAAACGTGCTCCTCAGAGCGCCTTAAATGCGAGGCAGGCAAAATATGGTTCTATTGCCAAAAATATAAAATCTTCCTGCCAGCCTTTATTCCCAAACTAGGTTAGGGTCGGTTTTAAGTCTATTATGATACGGCAGAACTTCGATTTGGATGTGGAGCGACTGCTATTAGGCCTTGACTATTACTAGGTGATAACGAAGTTCTGTAGAAATACTGTTGTAGGAAAATTTAGGGCACCAACCACCAGTAACGATTGCCACAAATGTTCGTATGGCAATCGGGAACGACAGCTTAACGTGCTTTCCTAAGCACAGAGGGTTTATGTTAAAAGAATGGTCACCCATCCATAGACTGACCCGGCTAGGATTTCTTTATTTTGCCATGTGTCGGTTACCAGTTAGTTACTTGCCGAGAATATAGAATGGGTATATAAAATAGTCTCACTCACCTCTTCTGCTGCTGTATTTACTACTTCGAACCCAACGAAGCAGTAGAAACACACAGCAGCACCTTTTAACGTCCCCCACACACCATACGGAAAGAATCCACCAACGCCAAAACCCTCAGGTACTTCGTTCACTGGGATGCTCCAATTAGCAACGTTAACTGAAAATATATATTTTAAAATGATAGAAAAGAAAAATTGTCCAGGCAGCTCATCTTATATATAAAATTCTCGTGTCACAATGTTCGTTCCCGTACTCCTCCGAAACGGCTTGACCGATTCTCATGAAATTTTGTGTGCACATCGGGTAGGTCTGAGAATCGGCCAACATCTATTTTTCATACCCCTAAATGGTAAGGGTGACCCATCCCTAAATATTTTTTTTGGCAAAACAACGTTTGCCGGGTCAGCTAGTAATGAAATAATTATGATATTTGTATACTCCACTAGGAGTAAACAAAAGAAAAGAGAGTACCATTCACCGAGAAAAGAGTTCTGAAACTGTACTGTACTGAATAGACTGGCATAATTTACCATAATGCGAGCGAAGCTGCCGGCACAAGCTGGTACTAGGCATTTTAAGACACAATCTTTGGTAAAAAATCTTTAGTTTTAACTTGTATATTCGTTTTTTCCCTTACCTTATTTCTTGAGTACAGTTGAATAACTAGATCATTTGAAATTCAATATCTTTTTTTCATTGAAATTCAAATCCGTTAAAACAATCCTTATCGAACTGTTATTATTTTACTATACAATTATTCGAAATTGTGCTTTTCTTTCAAGAAATCGAGAAAGAATCGATTTTTAAAATTAATAGTCCGTATTTGCCTATGTCTATTTAGAATCGCCCGTACCTAAATCTTTGAGTCTTTTGAGAAGAACTAGGGCAAATAAAATATAGTTCAATTCATTATGTACGAAACGTCAAAAAGTGTCGGCTGAGAAGTGATAGCATTTAGAAAAAGCAACTTACCTGCAGTAGCTCCAGCAATAATGATGAACAGTACGAAGAGTAGACTGATACAACAGACGGCGCCGTTGACCAGAGACGCTTCCCGGACACCCATCACCAGTATTACTGTAACATAAATACAGAAGTCAGTCAGTCAGTAAGTCTGTATTATTTAAAATTCATTTAAAACGCATGTACAGGCCTGAATTGATTTTTCATCCATGTGAACCCTATGAAAAATAATATGAAATCTATAATCTATCCATCCAATCCAATTATCCATGTTGTGACGGATTTAGAATACAGAGTGTCACCACCCATATTCATCCCGAGGCTGTCGTAAGAGCCGACTAAGGGAGAAAACTACGCCACAACCACAATGCAAAGAGAAGGAAAACTTAAATCAAACCCTATACCAACCCGTCTGGCCGGTGTGGTATAGTAGGCCAAAACCTTCTTTCTAAGGAGAGGCTTATGTCCAGCAGTGGACAAGTAAAGGCTGTTGATATGATGATGAAAAATCTATCCATCTAAATAGCCTTTTGCAGCATTTGAAGTCACTTGACTTTCAATCTTCTCAAGTTACGAGTATACTCAAAAATACCTCTATCTCTGGTTGTAATTAAGGTTTGCTCCCACCAGTCTAAGATAACTCGGTGGAAGGAGCTCTCATTCAAACTTTTGCCCACTAGAATTGCTTGAGTTGGAGAAAAATGAGATGTAGTAGAAGTAAGATAGATATAAGAGAAACTATAAAATAATGTATTGATTCGAATTATACTCAGTTCTGTTTTCACATTCAACTGAGTATGTGTAAACATTCAGGAACAATCTTAATGTTGCCAAGCAGTATAGTTCTCCTCGTTTGTTATTAATGTTTTTTGTAGTTCTATTTTTTCGGAACGGCATAGCTATTTCTATTCTGTGTATGGTTATAGAGGATGTAAAAAATATCTAGATTTTCGGTACCTTCTTCTTAAACTGATTGGGCTAGTTAAGTAAAAATTAAAAAAAAAATACATACACATAAAAATAAATTCAACACAAGTCTCCACTTACTTCCAAAGAGAAGAACTAAGAGGAACGAAAACAAATCGAAGTGTGGTGAGAGTGGAGATCCGCCTAAGGGTACAACTTGCAAGAACCAGTCAGACATGGAGTGGTTTGTGACTGAGTCGATGTAGCCGCTCAAGCTGCGGGCGATAGTCGCCGAAGCTGAAAAGAAGATGAAAAAATAGTTAGAAAATGCATGGAATTTATTTATTTACTTTAAAAGTTACTGCATAAATTGAACTTAATGCCATGGGAGTTCTTTTTCGGTCAATCTTGAGGTCGTGAAAAAAATTAAATAGTTTCGGAAGTTTTTTTGTAGTTTGCTTGATTTTTATCATTTCGTTAAGAAGTTAACAAATTGAGTAAAACATCTGCCATTATTTTGTTACTTGTGTAGAGTTTGCCAATTCTAAACAAGTAACAAATATATTTAACATATAATATTGCAATTTATTGATATTCTTATATTGTAAGTGTTGAAAATATCTATGAATTGTGATATTATGGACTAGCTGACCTGACTGATTATTATTATTTTTGAATTTCTTAAAATCCGTTCTTAGGTGACCTCTACTCGGTGAAAAGAATATTCCTACCAAATTTCAAGTCTTTAGCTCTAATGGTTCCAGAGATATCGTGATGAGTGACTATATACGTGGAAATCTCTTATTGTGATATTATGGATTGTAATTGTTAAGTTATTATTGATCAAAGTACACCCAAGAAATCTTCGTCTAACTATTTTTTTTTATATTTTCTTTTTTTTTAATATTCTACATCATTCACACAACGCCATCTAGTCCCATTCTAAGCAGAGCTTGTACTATGGGTACTAGACAACTGATATAAATACATACATTAATTATTTTTTTTGTAAATACGTACATATTATACCCAGACCAAATTAAACATTAAATGTTCATGCACACAAATGTTTGACTTGAGCAAGAATCGGATCCGCAACCTTTGGAATAGCAGTCCGTTACACAAACCACTATGCCATCCGGTCTATAGTAATGATTGAATTAGTTATAAAAAAAGTCGTATAAAAACTAACCGAAAACAAATTCAAGTATATTAATCCATCCAATCATAAATGCCACCAATTGCCCAATTGCCAAGTATGTGTAATTAAAGACAGTTCCTGCCAGGGGAATCCGGGTGGCGAACTCTGCATAGCATAGACCTGAAACCAAGTAAGGGTTTTGTGACATTAGTCATTATACAAATTGCTTTTCTTCCTGAAAAATTACATCGTTGTCACCGTCAACTAAAGCAACTTTAACCGTTGAAAATAATAATAATAATGACCGCGTATAGAGCAAAAAAAGCTCTCATAAATCATCAAAAGCCTTTAATATTCCACTGCTGGACATAGGCCTCTCCTCAGAAAGGAGGTTTTGGCCTACTATACCGCGATGGACAGACGGGTTGGTATAGGATTTGTGTCAAGTTTTCCTTCTCTCTGCAGTGTTGTTGTTCTGAGTAGTTTTTTTCCCTTAGTCGGCTCTTACGACACCCACGGGATGAATAGGGGTGGTGACACTCTGTGTTCTTAATCCATCACCACACGGACAGCTCTAGTCAGTTGTTTTATGATGCATTATAAGGATGGCCATGTCAACCGTGTCTAGCTTCATCAACAGCTTTTAATCTATCTACTGCTGGATATAGGCCTCTCCTTAGGCAGGAGGTTTTGGCCTACTACACCACGCTGGCTGGATTAGTATAGGGTTTGTTTAAGGTGCTGGGCTAGAAAAACCGTGGAAACCTGTTGTATCTGCAGATTTCTTTGTTGGCTCTTCGGAGAACCTCGACGAGAACAAGCTCAACGAGAAGGAAAACCTCGATAAAAACCGCGAAGGCGAGACCCTTTTATGGGTCTGAGTTTCTTCACTGTCAGCGGTGGAGAAAAGAGGACGGGCTTGGCGTGTAGTCACACTGCCACGGAGAACTTTTCTTCCTGCTGTCGTCGACATATCGTAATCCCGGAAGGATTGTCGTGGTTATGTCTCGCAACTCCAGGCGGGGCGAGGGTCTTGGCTTATCCGCCCGGACAGCGAGGAAGAAAATCTCTATAAAAAATTACTCTTAATCCCGTGTGCTGGTGCGTGGCCAGGAGATGCATGGCTGATGGGTAGTTCAGTCGCAAGCACACTCCCAGCCAAGGTATTTGCGGACCCCTCAGTTAGCCACAAATTTACGCTTATTTCTTTTATTTATATTACTTTTATTTCACCCACACTCGTGGGTTTAAATATGGAATCATTATTAACTCAAACAAACAAAAAGGAAGAAAAGAAAGCAAAGGAGCAAAGGAAGGATCCCTTCAATTACAGGAGCAGATTGGCACACCGTGTGGTTTTAGTCGGTCCGATTCCGACACACCACCCCGCTTCAAAACCCCGGTAGATGACGGACCAAACGGAGTTTCCACACTTAAAAAAAAGGATTTATTTCCAGTTTTCATCCTCTTTTTGCAGTGCTATTGTCCTGCGTAGTTTGCTCCCTTCGTCGGCTCTTACGCTACCTTAGGGATGAATAGGTGTGTTACTCCGATTTCTCAATTCGTCACCACAGGACAACTGGCGCCCGTGGACATATGCAACTAAGAGTTACAAGTATGTTGCTGGCCATTGAATAGGGTTAGCCACAGTATATATTTAAAAAGAAACATATTTTTATCAATTTTACGAGTACATTTTAAACAATTTTATCGATAATTATAGTTGCTTGATATAATTCTTTAGCGATGAATGTGTAGAACAGATAACACATTTTATCATTGAAACAATAAAATATTTTCTTTTATAAAGCTATTCCGCTTTTCATATATTCGATAATATTCATTATCCTTTATCCTTTTATTACATGAATTATCGTTATTGGATTTGATTTATGAACATTTTAAGCGCCTGCATACATATTTAAGATATGCAATTTTTGACTCAAATTCGCCTTTACTTCAGTACTAGATAAAAGGTAATAATAAAATAATAATATTACAAGCAAATAAAATGTTTGTTTTATGAGATTCAATTCAGTTACACGTTTGCTTTTTATTTACGTGATGATTAATCAACACCAAATATTTTCATAACGATTTAACTTTTTCATCATCATCAACACCCTTTAATAGTCCTCTAATGGACACAGGTCTCTCTTATGCACGCTGGTCAGATGGGTTGGTATAGGTTTTGTGACAATTTTTTAAAGTCTTTGAAGTGCTGTTGTCATGCGTAGTTTGCTCCCTTAGTCGGGTCGTCGGTATTGTAAAGACCCACCGGATGAATAACACCTGGTTCCCCGGCTACTGACACCCGAGATGGAGTGCGGTTTTTGGTCGGTTCGAGGGGGTTTCCGCACAGAAAAAAAAGGGGTGACACCTACCTAACTTTTTTAAGCCTCGTAATTAATGAACCGTACAGTAATGAAGCTACAAGATCGTACCGGTTAAAAGAGCCGCCAGAGCAGCGATGAGAAAGGATAAAACAATTGATGGTCCGGCAATCCTCAGAGCCACGCCGCCCATCAGCAAATACACGCCGATGCCCAGCGTTCTGCCCACGCCCAGCGCTGTTAAGTCCCAGCTGTTCAGACATCTGAAAAACACCAAACGATATATTTTGTAAAAGTAATATTTATTTAATTTTATGTTAACGTATGGGGATTGAAGCGATCAGGTAATAGGCATGACATAAACTTGGATTGACTGGCTTTTCGATGAGGTTGCACTGGATGTGGTCTCTGTCAACCCTTAACCATTATCATTGACAACCACGGTGTACCGAAAAAGTTGTAGGTTTCAAATTTATTTATTACCCACGACTTCGTTCGCCTGTAATTTAAAAAAGCGCTGCCTTAGTGGGTTCGATGCCCGAACCGGGCAAAATTTTAAAGAGTTCTTCTGAGATGAAAAATAGCCTAAGTTATTCCTTGTGTAGACAGCTACCTGGTAGTAAAATATTATCGAAATCGGTCTAACCATTTAGAAGATTACCCGGAACAAACAGACAGACAGACGAAAAAAAACTAGTTTTTAGGCATAGGTATCATGCAAATAACCGTGTGAGCATGAAAAAAACTATAATTTTGACAATACAAACAGACACTTCGATTTTATTTATTTGTATAGATAATAATATGATGACTTTAATGAATCATTTAATAATATTTTTCTGGTTTTAATAAATAAATAACAACTTAATACAAACTTTTCTTTGTTATGCTTCTCCTGCTGTTCATTTCTAATGCAGTATGACTTTTACTACCAATTTAAATGCATTTATTCTTATTCGCTTATAGGCCATAAGTTCATTAATGTCAGTCCGTGCGAAATATTAGCTTTATCATTTTGCAAGTTCAGTTTCATCATCATCAGCCTATAGCAGTCCACTGCTGGACATAGGCCTCTCCCATTGCACAGGAGTCACATTAAGTTCAGATTGTCAATTTGAAAAAGATAAATTTCCGAATTAAAAACCCCGATGTTTATTTCGGAGACCAGACGATAACACGTTTAATAACGCACCTATAATTATTGTCATATGCTGACGAACAGTCCTCACTCAACAGACTAGGCACTCCTATCTCAGTTCTCAATCTTCAGTTTCACTCACTGGTTATGAATTCTAATAAACTCTATTCCTTATTCCTTAATGTTACCTTAAGCATCCTTAAGCACCCTTTTAAAAATAACGCAATTCTGAAGCAAATAACATATGAAAAAACACCCGAATTGAGAACCGCCTCCCTTTATTTGAAGTCGGTTAACAAATAACACTTCTGTTATCAGTCGCCTGTCAGTCTTAGCAGACTAGATATCCGTATAGTTGTAGAAGCTACAACAGGACACCTAGCCCTGAACCGACAACTTTTCATCATAATTGCGAAGGACAGTCGTCTTTGCAGAGGATGCCTGAAAGCAGAAGAAACGGTCGCCTAGGATTACCCTGGAATGCGAGAGAGTGGCCACACAACGGGCAAGTGTCATACCTGATACAAAATCGCTCCTAGAAGTCTGTGAACGCCCCAGGAGGCTTCAGCGCTTCTGGAAGGATGTTGGTTGGCTTACCTAGTGTCCGTGTGGTGACGGATTAAGAATACAGAGTGTCACCACCCCTATTCATCCCATGGGCACAACAGCATTGCAGAGAGAAGGAAAGCTTGACACAAACCCTATACCAACCCGTTTGGCCAGCGTGGTATAGTAGGTCAAAACCTCCTTTCTAAGAAGAGGCCTATGTCCAGCAGTGGAGTAGTAAAGGCTGATGATGATGACACCTAGCAAACCCTTCCTCGACGCATAAAAGACGGAATGCGGAAATCGGAGCCCACAACTAATACCAATATCTCTATTTGTTTTAAATTCCATTAAAACCCCAACACAAATGTAGCCAGTTCTGATAAAGCGATATAATACGCAAATAACTTGTTATCAATAGGTAGTACTTAAAAGTACACATAAGCTGACACAATTAAATGTAATGTGTCGCTTTGATAAGATCAAGTAAAAGTTTCCCACCTTTTCAAGCTGATGGACTCTGGCCGGTCAGTCTCAGAGCCTCTTTTCCTCTGCACAATACTCCAGATGGAATGGCATTTCCCCTCAGCCATTGGTCAAAACTGTTTTTAACCACATTTGGACCCCGAACACCTGTAGAAAATGAAACAAAAATTCGTATTCCTAGTTTTTTTATGTTAGAGCGGGCAGACGAGCAGATGGTTCACCTGATGGAAAGTGACCATCGCCGCCCATGCTCGTCTGCAACTCAGGAGTCACAAACGCCTTGCCGGCTTTAATATTCATATTTAGGTAAAGGCTTTTGACAGCGGCTTTGATCTCTTCATTATTTCTATTTCGTGTACTTTGAAAATTATAAACTGCCAAAATTTCGAGTTTGTGGTCCCAGCGGTTCAGACTCTGCGTTGATGAATCAGTCAGCGAGTAATTTTTTATGTATAATTAAATGGTATTATTCACGTGTGCATTTCGGGGATATCGGATTCGATAAGCCAACCTTTTTGGTGTCAGGTACTGTACTTGCCGCGGGCATCCCCGAAATACATACACGTGAGGAATTACGTTCGTCCTTTATGAACCTGCAGAACATGTGAGCCACGTGATAAATGTTTGCCAGTTGTATAGTTGAGTGTAACAGAACTTTTAAATATTGTTATTTTTTATATTTAAGTAAATTTATTTCAAAAATACTTGATTTTAAGATCACTTTCTTGTCCGTCTGTCCGTGTGTCACCACCGAGTTTCTCAGGAACGTGTAAACCTAGCAAGTTGAAATTCATACCAGATACTGTGGTCTATGGTCCCTATTAGGTGTATAAAAATTAAGGTCCAGAGTCAACATTATAAAAAGATATGGGCAAATTTCGATTTTCGCGAAAACTTGTAAATACAGAAATCTACCTTAATTTTCAACTTTTTTATTTTTCAGATTTTTTTTCTCTTTACTTGTGCAGTAAGACCTTGTTTTTAACCAAAATTGACAATTCTAGGTCGAAAACCTATATGGTGGTTCCCATTGCCTAGAATCACGAACTTTGTCAAAAAGAAACGTCTTACAGCACAAATAAAGGAATAATTCCAAAAAACAAAAAAAAAGTCGAAAATTAAGATAAATTTGGGTACTTACAAATTTTCGCGAAAATCTATGTAAATTCTGGGTAGGCACGGAACCCTCGGCGCACGAGTTTGACTCGTACCTGATCGTTTCTTTTTTATAATTGCCTGTTCATTTAGTTCTGAGAGACACTTTTTAGACCGATTTAAGTAGTTTGACGTCTAACTTATTATTTACTCAAATTACTGTGTAATATTCTGAATAAAGTCTCTTGGAATAATTACGATTAGTTTTGTGTTAAATAATAAAATGTTTGTAGCGCCATCTACTGACGGTTTGCAAAAGAAAATTGTTTGTTTGATATTAAGAATATGCAATTTCAGTAAAAGTCGTTTAAAGTTGTGTTAACATATGTATTTTGAATATTGAGCTACATTTAAAAAAAAAATTTTTAAGAAAATAATTTATTTGTTAATCAAAGAGTAGTCTCTTTTTTGCTTGCTTGCTACAATCGTTGAAAAATCTATAAACAGAGACTGTCATAGTAAAAAGTAACATTAGACATAGTACAAAAATAATTTTTAATGCCTGTTTTATTAAATTACCTCTGAAAGTGGTAACTCTGTATTATCGCCGACATATAGGTACTTGATAAAAAAAAATAACAATCAAGTGCCTTCGCTCCTCTCTACAAGATAAGTTGTATGCTTGAAATATCTGCAATTTCATTATGACAGTCTACACATATGACGGACTCAGAAGGTAGAAAAACCCAGTTCTTAGAAAACCAATCAACCAATTATCCAGAATCATCAAGAAAACCAAACTAAAAAGTAGAAAATAAATTTGAGTAAAGCGTTGGGTGCCTGCTGTCAATAGTAAAAAGCACCCCACGCTTTTTTTCAAATTTACTTTCTATTTTTTAGTTTGGTTTTCTATAGAAAGCGTGTTTTTTTTGTTTTTTAACACTATATATATTTTTTTTTAATTAGTGTATTGTCATCGGTCCTCGATATATTTACAAAGTTTGAACGAATTCTGACCGTTTAAAGTCAGTCAAAATCACGCCCAAAGGAGTCGGTTACAAACATACAAGTGAAACTAATATAAAGCGTGCAAAAATACGCAACAAAGTATTAAAAAATTACAATCTCAGCATCTACACACGTATAAAAGTATTACGCTGCAACAATGTTTAAGACAAACACGCTTGCCCATAATCTTACCGAGTACCAGTTAATCTAAGACCTTATCTTTAAGTTAGATTAACCTTACGTTCCACAACGTTTCACAATGCTGATAACGGATTATCAACAATGCAAGAATCGTCTACTGGGAGAAGGAAATTATTTTACATGTATGGTGTCGAACTTGGGATCAATTGGTTATAGGTGCGAACCACACCTAGTTTAGGTTTTTTTTTAAAAGATATACTTTTCATAGATTATTATACTCGTATGTTATACTAAAAAATACTTTAGATGGGAGACAGAAGCCTAAGGAAAATTGTGTTATAGATCTCCTCGCCTAATAATTCAAATGTATGTAATATCCCGTGAATTTCTATTTAATTTTACATAAATGTCCCAGATGACTTTGACTAAGCCTGTGACGTCCGCCCGTGCTATAGAGTCGAAACGAACCTATAATAGTCCAATGCTGGACATAGGCCTCTCCTTATAAAGGAGGTTTTGGCCTACTATACCACGCTGGCCAGACAAGGTGGTATAGGGTTTGTTTCAAGTTTTCCTTCTTTTTGCAGTGCTGTTGTCCTGTGCAGATGTTCCGTTAGTCGGCTCTTACGACACCCACAGGATGAATAGGGGTGGTGACATTCCGCATTCTTAATACGTCACCACACGAACGGACATAATTCCCTTATGTATACGTAATAAATCAAGTCACATTCAGTACCCCGCTTTTCATAAAGCCACTTCAGCGACGGTTTACCTCAGAGGTCTACCTGTGCAGAGGGCCAAGTGCGAGGTATTTCATTTCTACTTAATCGTCACGGTGACCGCGGTCAGCTCACTGAAATCTCCACAAATCGCACCGATTAACGCGGTCGCCGTCGAGAGCGAATCGATGTGAAATAAACATGCACTGTGCCCTTTTAACGTGTCTGACTTCACACAGAAGTCCCTAACCAAGAAGAAGATGATGGCATAAATAAACTAGTGCCACTTGAAGCAAATTGCATGATTTTCGTTAAAATTTATTGCATAGAATGGTGTTTAAATGTAGTGCCACAATTTACGAATACGGCTATTAGAACTCTAAACAAACTGTTTGTTTACTGCTTACTTCAACAACATAACCTAAATTTCTTTAATTATTTATCTGCAAATTAGCAGATAAATAAATTGTACGTAACACTTACACTGCTTTTCTTGCATTTTTATGTTCGGCGTCATAATAATCAGCGTAATTTTTAAAAAAGTGTAAATGCCAAACTATGGCTTTCCCCCGTTTTTTTTTAAATTTAGGTATAACGTGTTTAGGGTTTTTTTCTACAAACCAGCTGTTCCTCACAGTTTCACCTATCTTAGTGGTCACAGTTGTCGTAGGCAGACATTATTATACCTTCCTGAATTTAAAATTTATCTAATAAAATAACAGTTAATCAAAATTTTACTGATAAGTAGTTCCAGAAATTAGCTTGAGAAAAACAAACAAATAAAAAAATCTTTATCATATTATAGTAGCTGAGCAGGTTTATGGTCTCTGTTCCGTTCCTGAAGGTCGAAGCGTGATGTTACATTCGCTTTAATATTCCTCAATTTATACAGTATCCGTTAAACAAATTTTATTTAGAATCCGAACAGAGTATTTATGCAAAAAAAAAGCTTTTCAACTTTATTTAATTTAAATAGATTATAGTTTAATTAGTATGTACTATTTAAGTAAATACATATGTATGTATTTACAAGAAGGTTTAATAGATACCGTAGTTATTGGGCTTATATTTTCGTATACTTATATAAATAATACTTACTTATATATGTAATTTATATATAATATGTATGTATTTAAAAATATATAAGTATGTTTATCAGCAGTCTGGTTACCATAGCACAGGCTCTGCCTAGTTTGGGATCAGACGGCAGTGTGTGAGATGTGTGAGGTTATTATTATTATTATTATACTTATCAGGTTCGAATTTACAAAAAAAAGTAATTTTTATCTAGGTAAGTTGAACTTAAAGTTTGATTTTCACTATCATGTTAGTCGAGTTGATAATGAGTGGTTCAATTCTACCCCAGGATAAATATTGTGTGATAATCTCGATAATTTCTTATCTGAGTGTAATTAATTTATAATTCGTATATATTTCTAAATATTTAAGTGCACGTTTGACGGCTATACGCTAACGGGACGGGACGGGACTAAAATTATAGTGAAAAATGTGAGCATATAATACGCTTCTATTAACCCCCTTCGGGGATAACGACGTGAGTCGTGACGTGACGCTTAAAGACATAATATTGAATCCAAATACATACTTAAAAGTGTAATTGTAGCATAAATTTATTGATTTTTATCATTTTTACAACAAAAAAAATATGTAACACACTTACATAATATATACGGTTCACTTATAAGACACCTGAATAGATATCAACTCTGGTCACAACACAATACGATTCAAATTAGCTCGAACTTAACATTTGAATATTGTCACCACTTATTTTAAATCAAATCACCACGCGACAAAGTTTGTTTTACTCTGACGACGTAAATTTACGAATTAGGGTTGTCATTTCAGTTTTATATTTAGAAATATATTGTTGTGAGATAAATAAAATACAAGAATGTTACTCAGTACCGCAGCTGTAAGCAACGTAGTGAAAATAATTCTTCTAAAACAGACGATTCTCATACAAATTTAAACGTCAACAGTTAGAAAGTAATTTTTTGGCCATAGACCTCACTCACGTTAGTTTTGACTTCTTAAATAATTACTGCTTATATAATGTTTTATGTTTTCTTTATACAAACAAAATGGTAAACAATACGGTGTGCCTATTGTTTACCCGT